GAGAGATTTTCACGAAAAAATGCCGGCAACAGCAGATTTTCGACTCAGACCTCAAAGGGGCGTGGCATTATAACCACGTGACATTTACTCCGATCGCCAAAAATTTTATGTTATATTGTAGATTGATCTATATGTTATCCATTCTATGTGTTAGACTTACGATAAAAGTAAAGGTGGGGATACCAGAAAGGTTTAAAGCAGGATGGTACCCCCCCAAAAAACTGGGTCGAGTCACCTTAACCATACTTTGACTTAGGTTGTGTGGGTGTCCTGTGTTAGAAATCCTGTCATGTTGGGGATTTTCGTACAGCGGACATTCCGCTGAAATTATATCAGCGACACTTAGCACGAACTAAATATTTGTTTCCTTTATCTATGTGAAGAGCCTCAGTCCATCTGATCGATGGCTAATTAACCAAAATGAGTTTCTTGATAATAAGCCGGTTTATGGAAAGACAAGAAAACCGGCATTTATTGTAAAGCGGCAATACCAAATGGGTAACAAGCTGGTAAAATCCAGAACGAAGGTCGAGAGACCTCCAGCGGCGATATGTCCTCGTAGACCTATACAGCCTTTAAAGAGGACAATAAACGGAGTTCGAAACATTCAGTTTTCGAATTTTCCAAGGACCATCGCGCAGTTTACCCACAAAGACGGCAATGGATTAACCGAAGAAACAGAAGAAGAGGTTCACTGTTGTACTTTCGCTCCAGACGACGAATCGCTGATTGTGACTTGCACGACTCCTTGCGGCCCAACTTACCGACCGGGCGAAGGTTTTGGTCATTTGAGGGTGTTTGATATCACTTCGGGATTATGTATAAAGGAAATCCTCACTTATAACTCTCAACAATGCGACATCTCCGCAGACGGTGATTTAATCACTTTTGTTATGAATTCTGGAAGAGGAGAAGTTGCACTGGTCAGAAGAAGTCGAGATTCTCGAAGTGGAATCGCAGAACGCGTTGAGAAATTTCAGCCCTGTTGCACAGGAATCACGGGTCAAACTCTTTCTTGTAAGTTTTCTCCAGATGCTTCGCACATCGTTAGCGCGGCGTCACTGGATTTTCACAGTATTCGAGAAACGAACGAGTTACGATTATGGAACGTGAAATCTATGCAGACCGTGAAGAAAGTCGTGTTACGCGATCTTACAGATTTTTGTGGTTTCGTTACAAGCTGCGAATTTTCTCCAGATGGACAGTACATTGCTGTGTCCACTTCTCAGGAACAGCTGTGCATTTTAAGGAGCAAAAACTTCGACATTGTGGCCGTTTTGAGAAAGAGATGCCGAGGAAACAAATGTTGGAGTGTTTTTGATCCAAGATGGAAATGCGAAATACTTGCGTGTTGTTTACAAGATGGACGGGTGGAAATCTGGCAAAAAATCGAACATCTGTCCACCTGTGATGTGCGATATGTTTGTGACAAGCAGCGCAAAGTTTCGTTTTCTCGGAGGCTGTACTCTTGTCGTTACTCACCCGATGGTATGATGTTAGCTGTGGGAACATCGGACGCTAACATAATAGTTCTTGACTCTGACAACTTGGAGTCACTTTTCTGCTTGGACTCAAAGTCGATGCCTGACCCTTATCGACCTAGGAATGAAAACACTATTGTGGATTGTATTGCATTCTCTAGATCACAGCAGTATGTGGCAGCGGGCTATAGCGATGGACTGGCAAGAATATGGGCTATGCCTGTTAGGTTTGATTTAAAACACTTATGCCGAGTTGTCATCTTACACTCTGTGGCAGCCAGTAAGATCAGTTGCCTACCAATTCCCAGTGGTATAAAGACATACCTTCTGAACAGGTGTAGTTAGTTATAGATATAATTAATAATTTTCTGCGGAAGTAAATATGTAGGGATGGCCGATGGTACCTCGAAAAAATAAATGTAAAATTTCGGCCTGGTCTCAAAATCTCATTTTTGCATTTCTTTTTGGACTCACAGTGTCGATTTTTTTGCCAACAGGTCTCGGGGAATTGGATTTGTTGCCTTTTTTTTTTTTTAGTTTGGTTGTCAGGAGTTGAAGTTTTCAGAGTACATAGATACAGCTTATTGAACTGAGCTCGCACACATTAAGACAGTAAAACAAGACAATGGCACCCAACTCGCATTAGCTAAAGCAGTATATTGGTGGGCTTCTGCCTAATTTTCATTGGCATTTTTAGTTGTTTGATTCTCAGGCTTGGATTTGAAAACCAGGTTCTCGCAGCCTCACAGAGTCTCAAATTTACCATTCTATATCCCTACAAGTCCAATGTAAGTTTGTAAGCTTGTGCATTAATGGTAATCAAAAAAAGAACAGTTGATTGCCTTTTTTTATTTGCAAACTGTTGCAAATAAGAGTCAATCATTGGACAGTGACTCCTGTATGAAAAGTATGGGGATGCTCGCCAGAAAAAATTAGAATTAAACACCTAATTAAAAGAGGTTAGTGTGGGCATGAATCAGGCATAATTAAACCCATGGAAGAGACTGCTAAATACAGCCAACCAATTTCCTCGTTTCTGCAGGCATTCTTTGTGTCGTCAAGAGTGGAGCATTGTGTTATGACAACACACACACAAAAGTATGGCTGCTTTGGAGACTAGCTACCAATTCTCAGAATCATTGAAAAGCTGTAGTTATTTCAGTTACTCAAAAGATGTTGAAAGTTAATATTGAAGCTTTCTTTAACCCATTATGACAGCTTAAAATTTTTTGAGTATAAATATTATTATTTGTTTGCTTTGCAGCTTACTAATCTCTTCTGGTAAAAATTAAAATTAATACAGTAGCTTTCAACCCTGAACACTCTTAGTGAGACCAAATATGCAACTCTCAGTTGCAAACAGAAGATAATACAATGTACATGATAAAAAATTTATACTTTTAAAATATGGAATTAGTGAAAAACAAGATAGTGTCAAATTTAAGGCTATTACTGCATTGGCAACCAATAAAATTGAGCTTATTTATTAATTAATGTCTGGTCTGCAAAAAGATGAAACAGGTAATAATTGAAGAGTTAGTGTTTGATACAAATAAAGTTGAATTCACATCTAAACAACTTGCCAATTTGTTTGTATTAACTTATTAATATTGTCAGTAACTACAGTGTAGTATGCATTGATCAGCCACACTTAGGCTGGGGCAGGTGTAGCATGAATTTTTGGTGGCATTTGAAAGTACAAGAATCTGTTTTGAAAACAAAATACACATCATGATATTTTTATTCTCAGTTTAGCAAGTAACTAAGCAGACATGCCTCTAATCTGAAACACTGTTTTTAGCATTCTTGAGACTGGAGAAGCAGTTCAATAGGCATATTATATTCAGATGCTTTGTTGATTAAATAATACTGGTACTTTACCGTTTTAAGACAAAAATGTATCATAATTCAATAAAGTAATGGACATTGGGAGACAAACAACCAGACAACAAGTCCAGCAACCCTGGGCGTATGCATTCTTCAGGGCTTGTTGACTAAAAGTTTCTTCCCTAAGGGTGTTAGGCATAATGTCTTTTAACTGTTAATAGCCCTCTAAGTCCCAAGAGTGATCAACACTAATTTTCTCCTAATAATATCAATAAAATATCATCAAGAGAAAAATCGTGAGAATTAATAAAAATGATCACTGAGGCAAAAATGCTTGGCTCATCTTTCAACAAATTCTCCCAACCAATTCTTACAGTAAAAGTATAGGGATCAGTCTGAAGAATTTGTATGTAGATATCGGTGATTAAAGAGCTAGGTGACACAGAAGTTTCCTGCATTTCTAAGCACTTCCACTTAGATTTCAATTGATCAGGCTATCATGGACCTCAGTAACGTTAAAAATTGTTTTCACAGCAAGCAATCAAGATATGTGGTGGTTATCAAAGCAAGGAGGTGATTCACAAAAGAAAATCTGCCAAAGGTTTGAGGCAGGGAGGGGGGGGGGGGGTAGCTCACTGTTTATCAACCCTTGGATTGGCATTTTCTTGATGTAACAAGATACATAACAACACCGTTCAATCTAAAAATGAAAGAATTTTTAAACATCATTCTCATTAAGTAACACTGTTATTGTTGTGGTCAATGTCAGTATCAAGAAGGCTAATTTCTTCGCAATCTATGAATTTGCCCAAATAAAGTCAAACATAAATAGTTTTGAAAGCCATGATTGTATTTTCAAAGAAGGAAATGTTTTAAAGGGTTTAGGGATTTTTATAATATGCGATATAACTGATTAACTTTAGTAAACTAGAACAGCTGCAATCTTTGTTGTAAGGTCTTTTAAGTCATTTTCTTTTATATAATATTTACAGGTGAAAATTGATTATAGAATGTAAAGAAATGCTTAACAGAAAATGGGTCTGATTTTTTTTACATAAGGTACAGTAATGTTATAATTTCTGCATGTCATAATTTGTAAAATCCACCAAACTGCACAAGGAAGTGATCACATATTTCTGTATTTGCTCTCAAACCATTGCCTGACAAGTATTTTCTTGGCTGTTGTGGGAGTTATAAACTCTTGCTCCTTATAAACAGGCTCTGTGATACCTACAATTATTTGAAAATTAAAGCAAGAAATAAATAACATAGTAAACTTATAACTGGAGAAGCTGTATAACACTTGGTCTGTTGCAGCAGAATATAAACTAGTATGACAGCCGCCTTAAGGCAGGGAAAGTTTTTATTAGCCTTGTGACATTTTATGCATGTAGCAGTAATTTCATGGGGCAAGTGGAAAAATCATGATTGGCCCAGCATCAAGTGTAACTTTTTCAAGTGTCCCCAAACCATTTAAAATGTTTATAGCAACTAGCAGAGTACTCAAGTATAATAGTGATTGGCATGGAGGGGGCGGGGGAGATGGTACTACTTTTTGACAACATCCATTGGAGTAGTGTCATGTTTGATACCCTGGACAATTCCTTGTATGGTGTAACACTATTATGTAAACCACTATTTCAACCTTAACTACTTAGTACAGCCTTTAAAAAAAACAAAAACTTGAATTGAAAAGGTCCAATGTTTTTTTCAGTTATTGTAAATTTAGTACCTAATGTTTCTCTAAATGTTCGAGTGACCATTTCATCCCACGCTGCTTGAAAAAAACACAGGCCAGCAGGAATCAGCTCATGTCTGTGATTGGAGAGGAACTCAGACAAGGAGAATGTCCTATTGAATATATCTCTGTCAAGTAAGGCAAGCATCACAGAATTATTGGTTTGTTAACTATATCTTTGGTTTTTTTTCAAATGTAAATATATTAGCCTCAGATGCTATTGAATCTCTCCACCAAGAGCTCAAATAACTGGAGGAAATGACATCTTCATTACCTCATCATTTAAAGACTATTCATTTATAGATTAAACATAAAAGTTCAGATTTCCAGCAGTTGCAGATAAGTCACTGAATGATCACATTAAATAAAGAAACAACAAAGAACATGATGAAGAGGTGCTTGGAGTAAGGCCTTTAGTGACTCCTGATGTATAAAAAATTCTCCCTTTCATTCAAAAGCATAAACAGAACAAATTTAAAGGAGAATCTTTATACTAGAAGTTTATCAGAAATCACCTCCTGGGAGTTTGTTCCTAAGGAACATAGATTGCTTTCTTTTAATACGAGAGATCACTGTTTACAAACATTATTTTTGTTATTTATGTATAAAAGGTTAAACAGAAGAATGTTTTGTTACAAGAACCAAAATTTAAATGTACTTCTGGTTGGCACATTAAGGGGGGTTTTCAGGGTCAATACCTCCCAAGTTTGAGCTTAAACTATGTCGCCATTAATAAAGATTTGGATAAATTACCACCACAGCTGTATTAGATAAAGATGAAAATTTGTTATAATCAGGGTTACAATGTCATCGGAGTTGTCACAGCAATAAAATGATGCCATTACCTATTTTACTTACATGGTACATGTACAATGATGTATGTGACTTTACATGTAATTTGCATTAACTGATGATAATTGTTTC